ATTGCCTAATTAGACACATGCTACTTTGTTTGCTTGTTTGTTTACTAAATTTACATGTTTGTTTACTTTGTGCTTTGTTTATATGTCGATTGATTAAAATTACAGGGTTACAGCCAAGTTTACAATTTTTCAAAAATTTTCTAAAAATTTTCAAACAAGTTTTTTATTTTTTGATTAAACAGCTTCTCTCAGAAGTTGTTCTATTAAACTCTAGCTATTTATGTGTTTCTTTTTTTTTTCTTAATGATGCAAGACCAGTTTATTTAATTAACTTTGGGGCAAACTAAAGTGTATTGATTTATAACCTTATAAAATTGAAGATCAGTGGAAAGAGTTTACAATATATTTATTAAAAATTGAAAACTATTTATTATTATATATATATATAATAAATTTTATACAAAAATCAAAAACTTATTTATTATTATTAATAAAATTTATGCAAAATTATGTAATGCATGATATGTAATTATTATTATTATTAGCATAATTATACAAGTGAATATTTTGGTATCTGTTTTTATCATTATCGTAATACAATAAAACAAAATCTTTTCCAATTTCAATATGACCTCTTTTATTAATATTAATTCAAATACTAATAATACCTTTGAAGAAATTAATTTTAATAAAATAAATAAACAAGTAAATTTTTAAATATGTTTTTGTTTAAATTAAAAAGTTAGATATATATATTTTAAATATTGATAAATTATTTAAAATGACAATGATAATATTGAAGAAATCTCTTATTTTACCAAAAATTTAACTGCATAGCATATTCAATTTTCAGCTGTTTCTGTTAAATATCTGTTTACTGATCCTAAAGGTTATGCAGTTATATATAACTTTATTAATAATAAAAATTATTCTGAAGAGCAAAGTAGTAATATTTAAATTCAAAAATTAATGAGAGACAAAGCGTGAGTTGTATTTTATAATATATATAAATTGGATTTTTTAATATAAATATAATAAATTTTATTATGATTAATTATTTTATTATAATTTCTATTTAATTATTATTAGATCCAATATTTACAAAGTGATAAAGATGAAGTTTTAATGTTAATTATTTATTTTTTGATGAATTTAACAATGAAAAAATACAAGTTATTAAAGATCAATGAAAATGTGAAGGAGTTAAAGTTTGTCTTTTTGCATATAATCATATAATTAATTACAAGTATACTAGTGTTAATTTCAATTCAAATATTTTTTAAATTATTAAAAATGCTGATAAATCTTAAAGTATTTAAGCTAATACTTTGTCGTAATATTTAATATTTATTTAAATTTTATTATTAATTTATATTTTAAAGCTTAAATAAAAATTAACTATTTTATATTAGGTTTTATCTAGCAGCTAAAAAAATACCTTGTCTATATACTCAAGCTAATGATATTTGATATACTAGTGATTTAGTTATTAAAAAAAGATGAATACAAGCTCTTAATTCAAATGAATTACAATCAAATATTAATTTAAATAATGGATACTTTCTTGGTTGTACATCTTGGAAGTATGATACTATTGGACATCAATATATACCACTTACTGAAATTATTGATCACTATTTATTAAAAAATTTAATTAATAGAATGATAATTTAAATAACATATAATTAATATTAATTTTAAGTATCATATTTTTATTACAATTATTAATTTAATTTTTTTTATAATCTTAGCAATTAAATCAATCTAAAATAAATAATAATCACAATACTGTTTTATCAAATAGTTTTAAATGATTAATATGCTGTAAGTAATAAATTAAATAATTTTTTAATAATTATATTAAAATAATAAAAATTAATATTATTATTAATTTTTATAAATATATTATTTAGCATTTCTACATATAGATGATAATGAAAATTCAGTAGAAGCTAATTTAATTTATTTATTATATAGTATTACATTTTATTAGCTTACTCTAGTAAATTTAATTAAATGTCTATATGTTGCTCTTGTAAGTGTTGGTGAACATACCCATTCATCTCTACCACCTAGTCATATTCCAGAAGCTATTAAAAATTATATTAATAAAATGATTAATAATGCTTTTGAATATTTGGATCATATTACTCCACAAAAAATTATTTTAAGTAATAAAATTTATTTTTTTGTTTTTTATAAACTTTATAAACTAATAAATTTTATATAACTTAGATAATCTTGTACATGCATATTTTGGAGTTAATATATTATCTGAAATATATGCATTACTTAACAATTTAGATTAGCTTCAATATTTAGTTAGTTATATACAACAAGCTAAAAATCTATATAGACAAAGTATTCTTGAAATAGTATATAATTTCTGGAAAACAAAAATGAAATTCATAATTATATTCAACAATTAAGTATAATATTATATTAAATTAATTATTATTCAATATTAAAATTATATTAATAATATTTATTATATAATTAAAGGCTTTTTTGATAATGATCATATAATGATTCTTTGTATAACCAAAGAACAAGCTATTAAACTTTATGAAGCAAAATATTTTCAAATATATTTGACTTATAAACCTGTACAAGGTAAAATAAATGTGTTCGAGCTTAATAAATATGATAAAAATCATCAAATAAGTATATATATTATTTTATATTTTTAATTTTAAGCTTTATTAAATAATTACTAATAAATTATTTTATTATATATTAACATATGCTAGAATTTTTATAAATATTTCTGATGCAAATGCATATAAGCAAATGTTTATAATTATAATTAAAGCAATTAAAAACTTAACAAATATGTCTGTAAAAATTAAACATATACATAATAATAGCTAGAGTTGTATTTTAGGTAACTTGGAACTTGCACAAGTAAAAGGGCTTGGGTTAGCTTTATCAAATATTGATCCAAGTTTAAGTTGAACTAAACATCTTGTTCATATTTTTAAAACTTGTCACTTATATTATTAAAGGTAAATATAATTTATTTGTAAATAATTTAACCAATTTTTAATTTAATAATTAATACTTTATTTTAGAAATCTTTTAAATTGTAAATTTTCAAAACAAGTTACAAAATTAATGCAAAATATTTTAACTGCTGAAAGTTATGAAAAAATTCAACTAATTATAAATGAGATAATATTATTTAATAAAAAGAAAATTAATGATAAAATATTTTTAATTATTATTTAAAATCAAACCTTTATAAATATTATAATATTACAATATTTAATATAAAAATTAATTATTTATATATTTAATATTAATATAGATTAGATATAATTTTATAATCAACTATAGGTTTTTGCAAGTTTAAACCAACATTGTTTCAAAATCGATACTGAAATTTGGTGTATAGTTGGTAAAACAACTAATGTAACTGAATTAGCACATGCTGACATTAAACATGATGGAAAAGAATTAAGTTTAATGAATGCAATTGAAAAGTAATTTGTTAAAAAAATTATTATATGCTATATTATAAAAGATTTAATTTTTAATATAACTTTAATTTTAGAGCACAAAGACTTGATATTCAAAAATTTACTACTTATAAAATTCAAGATAAATATGAAATAGCAAAAACTGAAAGAAATAATAGGCTAATATCTCATGCATCACAATCAATAAAGTATTATGATAAATAAATGATAAAATTTTAAATTATTTATAAATAAACTAAAATTATTAATAATTAATTAAATTTAAAGATAAAAAATGCAATTAAAGGGGTGTGGGTTCTATAGTTTAGTGGTTAAGCTCCTATGCTCCCACAGTCAAGGTCAACAGTTCAAGTCTGGCTGGAGGCAAAAACTAAAAAGATTTTAGTCTCTGTAACCCAATAAGGAGCCAGTAATTGAATGCGAAGCCCTGTGGTTAAGTCCAAGTGCA